AATCCAGGTTTATCTGACATGTCTGTCTGACACGTTTTGACGGGAAGACTTGGCTCAAGTACCAGAAAATAAAAGGCACAGAGCCAAGAGGGGCAAGTGACAGTCACATAGTAGTAAAGACATGATTGCATCTATTTGTCTGGAGAGATTAGTCACTCTCAGGTGATTTCCAGCTCCATGCAAGCACTAATATTGTAATAATAGTTTGATGAGGAAAGTGAGAATAGAAAAAGGTGTCCTTGCCCCTTCGTTTGCTTCTCTTTATCCTTTTCCCTAGTCATTATATTAATGCACTTTCCTGTCTGTTGTGGAACTCCTGCTGCTCTGCTTTTACCCATTCCGGCCTTGATAGCGAGAGCAGGCCCGGCTCTGCGACTTTACATTTCATCAGCAAGCTGCTTCTGCTGGCTCCACATCTGTTATGGAAATGTGCACAGAAGGAGGAAATGGAATGAAATGGAATATCATTTCCAATATTTTCACTACTGAGACAGGGTTGATTTCAGCACTTGTATAGGGTTCAAAGGCAGAGGTGATGAAATATGTTCATCCACTTTCACAGCCATACATTACTGTAATCTATCAATACATTCTTAACGCCTGATGGCTTCAAATTTGGGATGTTTTAGAATGTCGGTGCTTGTGATAAAATTCCTAACTTCCGACCATGTGTCACCATCCCAAGAGGAGAAGCCAGCTTGATGAATTTAACTCCCCTGAACCTTAAGTTCAAAATGTCCACTATCTCTGTTCAATAGTTTAATAAGATTTTTATTAGGCAATTAAAAGTCTTTGGACTAGCATATGGTCATAATTAGTGCTGTATGGTTCACTCAGGGATGAATGAGCCATTAATTACTCTTAGCTGGGTCTGGGGATTGGATTTAAAATAGATCGAGTAGGACAGAAAGCAAAAGTATTTCTTCAGACTCTCATCTAATCAGACATAGAAAATTTTAAATTTCCATTCACTGCAGAACATGATTGAGTTGTACTAGTTATTTATAAAGTCCTTTGAAAGTTGACCACTAGCTGCCTTTAAATTTATGTTTGACAAAAGAAGGCTGCACCATTAAACAGAAAAGACTACAGTAATGCGTACACTGGCACAAACAGGAAAACAATACACTGTTGTGGAGCAAAGAAATTAGTCCTAGTTTCGTTTTTTTAGCCACACAATGTGATTGTGACATTTAGTAAAGCACTGCCTTGGCCAATCGCGTAGTTTCCTGGTGGATTATTTTGTAACGTGAATGCTGTGTTTCTGCTGTTTACCTTGAGATCAAACTGTAAAATCCTGTTTGTGAATATTACAAACCACTGTGCTGCATTTTTGTATCTAATAAGCTGTAAACACATAAATCTGTTTCTCCAGCTGGACTTCCTGTATCCTATTACAATGACTTACTCAAACATGGACACACCTCACCAGTGCCCGGCCCCTGTGTTGTCTAAACATGGGGCAAATGTCTGTTTGAATGCAGACTAACAGGAACTACTAAATTAGTCACTGTAATAAGAGCAATGTGAGATTACTTTGCATTTCCTGTGATTGTGGTTTTGTCAAAAGTCCCTTTGACCCGATTACTTAAGCTTTGTGACCGAGGTGCTGTCATGCCTTACTCAGAAATAGATGTCTTCAGATCTGCGAGGAAGTAGGACCGTTTGACGACTGTTTCGACACTGCACTCCCACACTGCTCAGCCAGTGAATCAGCCACTCTGCCCATATGTGAACTTGTGCTCCTCCATTAAAGCATCTCATGACAGATGACATCCTCAGCATCTCACATCTGCTCCTTCACACATCTGAGGTTGAAGGCCACATCTGGGAGCATGTGACCTGGGTTGTCTGAAGGGTGTGACGTAGCTGGTCAGCGTGCCTGTGTGTGCGCAGGTGGCTTTCTGAGATGACAGACGTGCCAAAAGTTCGTATTTATCAGTCAACACTTTTCCAGTCAACAGGCAGCATGTGGAATCCAGGGAGCCTTGACCCCTTCTACTCTTCTCCGATGGCAAATGTTAATAGTTGTGCCACCTGTTTCAGCAGTGGTGCTATTTATAAGACATGGAGAGTCTTATAAATAGAGCTGGCATTGGTTGGCCACTGCCATTTAGTGATATATAGTGATAGTTTTGGCTGTATCACAGGGGTTGACTGGTGGAGGGTACTGGGAATTTCCCTGTTTGTTTTAACACAAAATTTATTTCCTCTTTTTTGACATTCTCTGCTGTAAAGTAATTTTTACAGTCTGAGAAAGATGATGTCTGAACATTTATTGTAGTATATAAAATGCCAATACCATTTTATAGTAAAGTTTCATACTACTACTACAGTATTAATACTTCTTTGCATCAGAGGTTGAGCATGTTGTATAAGCTTTCAGTTTCATGCTGATCTTAATCTTTACAGCCATTTGTTCATGGCTCAGGTCTTTCTTGTGTGGAATTCACTCCTGTTTCTTAGTAGAGCTTCTTATGGCTTCATATTATGGTATTTATTGATTCTCAGAAAATTATTTCCACTTCATGGACCATCAAAACTACTACTGATATTTACAGTATATGAAGGACGGGCTCAAATAGTGTCACACACATATGCATCGTCTGGTTGGTGCAGGTTGTTCCCAGCCTGACAGGAAGCCCTGGGGACATTATTCTGTACAATATGTTGTTGGAAAAACAAATAATTTTGTTTGTTGGACTTACAGGTGACACTGTGTAATGCCTTATTATGTGAAAGTGCTGCCACGTCTTATAAAGAACATCTTTAGTGTTCGTTGGGTAATAAATGATCTTAATCTTCCACTTTAATTAATTTAGCTTTGTGGTTAAATGGACATGTGGCACTATCTCAGTCTCTATTATTGTATCTTATTGTGTCCTTAGGCCATCGCTGTTATATAAGCTGTAGTAAATGTTTGACATATGCAGTAATTATGTTAAACTGATAAGACTGATATGTTGCTGGAGGAGTTATACAAAAAGTGTAGTGTTTTAAGAGGAGATCATAGACAGAGAGATGGGAGAGTATCATTCCTAGCCAGAGCGTGCACTCACATCTGTGTAGCGAGTGAAAGGGATGATTCAGTTTATGCATCATGCAGGAGAGAGCAGTGAAGTGCAGAGTTGCATATAGATTTCTGTGCTGTCACAGGGGCCCTTGTTCTCTCACTCACGCCGAGTTGAGCTCTCTTTACGTACCTCGGTCGGGTTCAGCTCGGTGCATGTGCGCTTTTTTTTTTCTGACTGTCACACAAACCCAGAATTAATGTTAGCTCCTTTGCTCATTTTGGATTTTTCCCACACAAAGGATGCTAATGATGCATATGGCTGTCGTCCTTGTCTGAATGTGTTACAGTCTACTGACATCACGTAGGCTGATTGGCAGGGGGGCGTTGTCTAAAAACATCAGACACTGACCCAGTCTGGAGTTTTAAATGCAGAAGCCTTTAACCTCATCTGCTTTTGTCATCATGATCATTCAGTCACAGTCCCACCACTGTAGATCCAAATTCTTTAGGGTCCAGACACGCTTGATTATTTTTCCTTTATATTTACAAATCTGGACGGTGCACCAGTGAAAAAGAGATTTTGGTCTTTCAACTCTCTTTTTTATTTTGAAAGACTTAAAGAAACACCCTGTTTCAGACAACTTATTTCAGTTCTTTGCTTCTCTACGTATTGTAGGCTACATTGTACTGTACAGTGTGGCTGCTTGCATTTCCCCTATTCAGGTTAATTCTACTTCTGTAGTGTATTGTTCTTTGGGTGTCATGATTACCTTCCTGTTCCTCTAAATGCAACCTACCTGGCTCCAATTTGGACACGCCTGTGTATGTAACAAGCATCAGGACCTCTTGATAATAACCCTGAACAATGCTATTCACTACTTTTTGCTATTGATTGCCATACTGGTTAAAGGACTTAGCTTATGTTAATTCTTAGATGGAAAAAATAACTTAAAGATAAATTGCAGGGATATATATTGATTGATTGATTGAGAAGTGCTCAACAGCAGGCCTATGCAAATATCTAGCTAGTTTCATCACCATAAATTCCAGAGTATGGGCAGAAATAAAGCCTTGTATGACCTGTGGAAGTCAAAACAATTTATAGTATCAGTGGTTATATGGTATACAAACACTACTTCTCACCACTCAATAATAAAACAAAAGTTGAACCCAGGAAAGCTCTAAACAATGAACAAAAACTCCTGCAATATGAGCTGTTATTTAGGTATCACATCTTTTCATTGTCATTAAGCTTTAACGAAGATTTCCAAGAAATCTCTGCTTTCTTTTCTTTCTCATACAGTGCACAATAGAGCAGGTATGTGGAGTTTATAGCCAGTAGCAGACGCTATCAGATTAACCTGACCTGAGCACTGAGCACAGACAAACGCATCCTGCAGCAAAGATAATACATGTAGTATTCTATTAATTATCACCACAGCCATATCACTTTCGTACCCCGCTGAACAGAAACTGAAAACGGTATCATACCACCTCAACTCTGAAACGCATAGTGAAAGGTTTAGTTGTGGCCAAACTTTATAGAGAATGTGGACTTTGGTTTTGTTGTTTTGATGATGATGTTTATTTTGTGAGAGGAAATATGCTTCTCTGTGCTAAATACTGTCAGTCCACTGCTTTGATCCAGACTGCAATATCTCAACATCTATTGGATGCCATAAAACTTTGTACAGACATTCATGTTTCCTAGAGAATGAACTTTAATCACTTTGGTGACTTCCTCTTGCACCATCATCACGGTCATTTGAATTTGCTCAGTACGTGGGTTTATAGCCAGATATCTACAAAACTGACATTCCCATCAACCTGAGCTGTATTCACATGCTAAGACACTAAAAGAATGGTGGATATGGTAAAGAATGACTCTGCTAAACATCAGCATGTTAGCGTTGTTAATGTGAGCATGCTGAAGTGACCTTCTACAAATCACTAACTTGAATGAATGTTGTTCCTTGCATCTTCACAGATCTGACCTGAAACCCTGCGGTGTCGTGCCTGCATGGAAGCTGACTGGCGGAGGCTTTCTGTGTAGCGCTGAGGTCACAGATCATCATTCCAAACCAGCATCATCGTCTGCAGCCCCAAAGCAGTGCCCTGACTTCACAAGTGCACAGGCCTTCTATTCAAGGAGCTTGGAGCTGCAGGAAGAGAGAGCGCGAGAGAGAGGGAGAAAGAGAAAATAAACACAAGTTAAAAAAGATACTCTTCATGAATTCCGCAAATCCCTGAAAGGCAAATCCTGCAAGTTGGCTGGAGGTCCTGAGGAGGCATGTGGACAATGAGTATGGCTTGGCTGTGTGTCCCCGCCTACATTCTCCTGCTTGTTAGTTGCATTCACACAACTGTCACAGAAAATGATGTCACTCCACGTCTCACCTTTTCCTACAGTAAGTTGTTTGTTTTTTTTCAGATTTTTTTTTCCCAAAGCTTGATGAGACCCTTTTGCATGAAGAGCATCACCTGGCATATGGTTTAAAAACTGATAAATAGAGCAGCTCTGTGCAGTAGAGCTGCTGCAAGCTCACAGCTGGCCAAAGGTAAAACTTTATACAACAGCAGCTGACTTCTGTTAAATTATTTGGCATTTAGTAAACCTTGATTATAGCAAAGTATACTGGCACTTTGTGGGGCTGATTAAGTAATTCCCAGTGGCATCCTCAGTGTATTAACTCTGCCCACTGAAAAAAATCAATACATTTTATATGCGTCCAGTGTAAGAGCTCAGTCTTTAAGTGGGTGAAATAGTGTTTGTCTACACTATAATGATTTAAATCCAAGTAGATCCACATTGGATGGCAGCTCCATCAAGGTGGATGTGTCAGGCACCTACAGGTCAGACATAATTACAAAATGAACAGGCCTATTGTGCTGCGACTTACTGAGGGCAGTCTGACATAGTCTCTCAAGAATGATTGCTCTTACATAATCTGAATTTTCTGGTTTGCTTGCAGAATGTGAAACCGTCCAGCCAGCACAGAAACATAACAAATGTGCTTGCCAAAAATATGTTTTTATCCTTTTATGCTGTATTATTTCTGTGCAGCATGTTTTCTTAATGCCAAGTAGTGATTTTATTATTACTAATTTAATTAGTCAAATAATGTACTAGCTTATTTGAGATGACAAGTTGGGTTTAAACATTTATTGCATCTTAGTATATTCTTGGAAATAAAATACAATGATGGATTATGTGATCAGTGCAGACTTTCAGTGATTGAACTGTGGTTAGTGCCTCATGTTCAGTCATCATTAGAGTCTTAATGCCACCGTGCTGATAGATCTCTCCTTGGTATAGACATGGATAAAATTTCTAGTATGTAGCTAATTCTGTGCCAAGCAAACTTTCCAAAAGGTCAGTCATCTCACCTGTCTCAGCATGCACCTTCCCACATGTAGGCTCTCAACATCAACAGATAATCTCTCTCACCTGTCAGCCTCTACAAAACCCACAGCTTGGCCCCGACGGAGCGTTTCACAACAACACACACCATCAGTCACGCACTGAAAAGATGCTTCATACCTCTCCCTGTTCCGATTTGCTTTTAGGGTGTGCAGCCAATGTTAAACATCAACATAAAACTTGCAAAACCCATATGTCTGAAACATGTTGTATATATGCTATGCATTCAGTATATGCAGCTGAGGTTAAGCAAAGACATCATGCAGGCAGTAACACAGCTTTAACAACAGACATGGTCACCGTCGCCTGTAATACAGGAGTCATTTTATCAGGTCCTTCTGATCTATCTAGACATGGCTGAGGGCTCATAGTGACTTCAAATGTACCCATTGGCTTGTTCATTAAGCCTGACAAATTAAATCCGAAATGACTGAAGACGGTGGTGTTTGAAAAACCAAATTTAATGCTGATTATCACTTTTATTAGCCAAGTATGTTACACACAAAAGAAATTTGTCTCCGACACAGAACCAAGGCAGCCAACTCACACCCCGATGGCGGGGTTGTCCCTGCAGGCAACTGCTCTGGTCATCAGGAACTTAGGGTTCAGGCCCAAGGACACTTCAACATGTGGACTGGGGAGAATGGGAATCGAACCGTTCTACCTCCGAAGCCATAGCCAGCCCAAAAACCGAACTTGAGCCGCTGATGTGACAGTGCTTCCCATTGTGCTTCCGCCATACTCCCTTCTCTGTTTAGGTTTTAGATTCCAATGTAAGGCAAAGAACACGTTAAATCAAGTTGATGATTAGCAGGACCTGGTGACAAAAGTTGTGTTGCTGTGCTGTGTAGTGTCAGCTCAGCTACACTGACATTTCCCAGCCTCCTGCAGAAAGACTTTGTCACATTGTGTTTACAGTATCAAAGCAGAATGCAAAGCTGCAGGCTTCAGGGACCCAAACTTTATACAGCAGAAAGAAACCGCCTCATCCCGTCATGGCTTCTGGTCCTCTCTGTCCTGCCTGGATGCCAGCTAGTGTTCAATGGTGTTCATACTTGAATCTCAGTAGTGTAGACAAGCCAGAGCTCTGCTGGGCTGCTTCTCATCTGGTAACGTTTTCATAAACCGACTTCCCCTCATCTTCTCTCTTACTCTCTCCCTGTCTCTTGGTCCCCACCTCTGTCTTAATGAAGTGTAATCTGCCATGAATAATGAATGGGGATTTGTATGTGTTATGGTGTGAACACTTTTCTGGTTTTCATTATGCGCCTATCAGAACGAATCATGGGTTCACAGAGTAGAGGCTGCATCTGCTTTTCTCTCCACTTTAGTTCCAGGCTTTAATGCAGACCATGCTGAATGGCTTAGTGTGTTAGAATGCTATTTAAAGGCACACCTATAAGCTGTTTACTTGTTTTTGCCTCTTGGTCTTTTCAGCCCCTGAATTTTACACATGTGCTTTAATTTGGTAAGGTGCACACAGCCACACAGGGAATCAAGGCATTCAATTTTTTTTAAAAGAAGTCATGTCTAGACCAGACTCAAGTAATTCAAAATTACAGTGCTGTCAAATGAGATAACAGCTTCTCAATACTGTGCTGATGCCACATAGCCAAACAACAGTTTTAATGGTAGGAATGCCTAAACATGCGCCACTAGATCACTTGTTAAAGTCCATGAGAGTCCACCAGTGTGTACAGGTATATCACAGTACATGCAGTGATGATTCCAGCTTGAGGATGTTCTGCTTTACTTTGTGTTATATATGATATGAACTATTTGGGCTTTATTAGATTGTTGGTCAGATGCCAAGAAATTTGAAGGCTTTGCTTTGTGCTTTGGGCATTTTTCACTGTTTTCTGACTATTTGTTTACCAAATGATAAAGTGACTAATAGAGGAAATAAACACCAGCAATAATCAGTAACTGAAATAAACTAGTTTCATGATACTGATATTGCCGATGTCTATGACACCCAGTCCACATGGGTGTGTGTGGGGGGGGGGGGACATAAATGAGACTCAGCAGACCCTGTGAAAACACTGATGGTGCCTCAGTCGCTGCTGTAAACACACAGACTGGTCAGACTGGTCAGGTCAGAATGTTGCTGTACAGTTAAAAACATGTCACAACCTCATGTACAGTCTCATTGGTTCCTTATGCTCAGGCCTTGGAGGATGGGGTCATGGTGAGTTCCTGATGAACGTGCAGCTGGTTTACATTATTATGCTTAATCTGGGGTCACATTTTTGCACCATCAACACTTTTTATGGGAATGGGATCCGTGAAAGCTGAGGTGCAAACTACAGGTGTAGCAGATGTGAGGGAGAGTGTCTTATTTAAATGTTAACAATTTGTTTCTATCCTCATTATACACCACACTGTGTGCTCATAGGTAATACACATACTTTATCGCTCTTTACAATTTTCACAGCATTTATTGTTTTTGCAGCATTTACAATATGACGTGTCTCCTGAAGCTCTGTTCAAAATTGCCACCAATCTCAGCATCAGCATGGTGCAGCAGAGATGATATCCTGCTAACAAGATGCAGCCCCACAAGTTACCAGTGCAAACAGCAGGCTCACAGCTTGCCTAATGAATCTCCTGGTGAACTGACCCTCTTGGCCTGTTGTCTTAATGCATTCCAGATGCTTCAGTCTCTGTCCTTCGGCTTCCCAGGTTTACTCTCCCGTACAATTACCCATTCAGCAGCAGCTCTTAATAGCTAAATTAAAATTACTGCGGATAATTTAGTTAATGCTGTAGCGTGGCCTGCTTTCTCTCACCAGACAATGGTGCAGTAGTGGGAGTTCTGGTGTAACACAGACCCAGTGGGTCTCCTGTTGGCACTGCAGCTTCCTGTCACTCTAAACGCCACTGGATTTAGAAAAGTCAATCTTTTCTACGCTGCACAAAGTCTTTAAACATGTATAACAGTCTGACGAAGCCAAAGAAAAGAGATTTGTTTTACCTTGTCCACTGCCTGAAAAAATGTTACTGATTTTTCATTTGGTGTAATATTCTTTATTTTTTCTAAATGTCAATATGCCTGTCAAAACACTTAGGACAACAATAGAAATAGGTCCAGGACTTGATCATTCTATCCCTGACAAAGTCTAACATGCTGAATTTTATAAATAATCTAAAGCAAACATTTTATGTTGTGACAAGTGTTATACGTATAATATAAAAGATCAAGTAACAAGAGTTTTTCTACACAATATTGTATCAGATTGATGATTGAATATGCCAAATATTGCTACCATATTAATTAAACTACTGGTGTGAGAGGGTGTCTTACATTAATTACATGGCTTCATTGTTATCTTCCTATTGGCTGAATGGGGAAAAAAAATGTCAACTTGTTCTTGTAAGACTATTGCTCACAAGCATCCTTCTCATATTTCCTCAGAGATGAGAATGTAGATCATATTTATGGTCAGAAGACTGGAAATGGGGCATCTGACATCCCTCAGATGAGCTATCATGAGTGTATTGCTTGCACTTATCTACCGATGAGCACTAACCTTTATAAAATTACAAACTGCTTAGATATCATCTCAGCAATAAAATCCAGAGCTGCTGTTTTTATTTTTTAATGACTTTGTTTCGTTGTCTACCTTGTTTACCTTGTTTACAAGTACACTGTCTAGTGAACAGATTCTGATCCATTTGTAAGCAGAGTTTTGTGCAGAGTTCACTGGTAATTTGCACAAAAAAGTGTTGCAAAAGTAAGTAGAAAGCGGTGCTTTAAATCATCTGATCTCCTGAACATACAGCTGATAAGGGCAGCCCCCTCATAATAGAGGGCAGTGATAGAATTGGCCTGGTACAGTTGCCCTACAAAAGAAGATACTTAGATCTCTGTCACTAAAGGACAAATTACTCTACAGTTCTCCTCTAGAGGGGATGTTCCACACTTTTAATTATCTTTCTACTTTTTTTTGGACACATCAGGAAATGGCAAAAAAAAATGTAGAGGGATTCCTTTAAGCCCCATATAATTAATTTCCCCTCTAAATAGATTAGCAAGCCAGTGTAGGCAAGTATTTCAGTCCATTTAGCAGTGTCATTTGCAGAAATTACTTTTAATTACATAGTAATGGCAATGATCTCATATTGCTTATAGTTGCCAGAGGCTGAACTACTGAGTGCACTGTTGATGCACTTACACAGAATAAAGGGTCACAGATGACGTGCTCTGAAGCAGACAAAGCTACTCTCTCAAACTGATGAGGTGCAAAGCCCTCCAGTGCTTCCTGCTGGGTTACTCTTTCTGTAGCGTTTTTAGCTAGACTCAGAGAGTCGTCTGTCTGATTGACCTGTGACTGGTGTTTCTATCATCAGTTCAGCAGAGATGGCAGTGATTTGGTAGAAACAAGCTGTTCTTTCAACCCTAATGTCTTTCTCTGAACCGTCCTGTTTGTTTCCCTTTTCCTGGTGTAAACCACAACACTATCATAAAATGGTTCCTCTGGAATCAACCTCAGTCAAACAACAACAGAGGGGAGACTGTGGAATGTGCGGATGGGAGAGGAGGACAAGTTCAAGTCAGATACACTTGTGACAGTCTGGTTAAAATTTGATGATCTCAGGACTGCGTTGGTTCTCATGACTCCTCCATCAACCCTTGAGGGAAACGCTGGCTCTTTATCTGTTGAGCTAAAGTTGCAGAAACAAAACAAAAAGCTGAGAGGCACTAAAAGGCTCATACTTTGTAACTGTTTACTGCATATAAAATATTGATTACAGCTGCTTTAACAATCTTGCTGTAATTTGAACTTGTCGTTTTAAGGCTGACCAGTCATAGAGAGCGAAACACGGTGCTAACCATAATATACCATTTAACAATTACCTACCCCCCAGAGGAATAAAGAACTGTAAATCAAAAGGTCTACACTTAAAGATTGGTTTTCTGAAATTATAAATGGAAAGCCTTGTACGGTTGTAAACCTTCCTGGATCTCTCTAACGATACTCAGCGAGAGGCTCTATTGTTTCTCTCTGTCAGCTGTGGTCACCAAGTATGACGGTGGTGATCTGACTCCAGAGGATAACTATGTAGATATCCTCCTGTGTCAAAATCCCTCAAAGTTTTTGTTTTGGCTTTGACCTTTGTCTCTCTCTGTGTAAATCACAGTTAAATTTGCTGAGGCTCTGTGGAGAGGATGGAAAGTGGTGAAATGGTATTGGCATGGAGCAACACTCCATTTATTCTGTAATGATAGTGAAATGGAGAGAGGACGGCCCCAGTGGGTCCATGCACAGTATGCAGAGCAGAGCCTCTTGTGGTTTTACAGACAGATTTAACTACAGTTTGGCGCTCTGTTGTCGTGGCGATGAACTGCTATTAACACGTTTTTCCCAAAGGGGAGGAAGTCTCTTAACCTCCTGTACCTACCCACTGAAGTGAGGTTATATTAGGTCACATGCACTGCAGGGTTTGCACCACAGTGTACGCTTACTATCAATAAAAATGATGGCACATTATTCCATCTGGACTACAATATTGCTTTTTGGTATAATGGCATTTTGGGAACAATGAGGTGTTTGGCTGAGGTTTGCACTCTCTGAGTACTGTCTAGTTGTTAATGGAGAACGAAGTAGGATATTTTTCATTTGTTATATATAAGATTTCTTTATAGATTTAAGTCACCGAAAATCATTTTTACCATCAATGATCCCCATGTTCACAAAAAAGGTTGTCTTGCAAAATTTTAGCAGGATTTTTTGGGCCCTGTTCACTCACTTTGGTGGGAGTATTGACCATTAGCAACTCTTCATTAGCAAATAAATATAAATAAATTATATACCATTTTGCTACCTTTGCCATAAATGTGGAATTTTCTTTATAAAATGTTTAATGTTCAGTTGATGGTTATATGAAAATGATTGCCCATTAAGACAAATGCTTAAATTGGAATATGCCATCTTAAATTTATGGTGCTGTACTGTTACATCATTTGGAGATATTGGAAGGATGGTGTTACATTCTTCAAGTCAAAAAAATCTTAACTCTAAAAAGTGAAGCCTAATACCTCTCCTCCCTATCTCGGTAATTTACTGTACCATCACTTAGAGCAGTAATTTTTATATAAATCATTAAAAAAACATGTGTCCAACTAACATGAAATTACACAATTGAGAAAAACATATTATTAAAGGACCTTCCTTTGTAAAATAAAAGTAGTTCTTTGGTTTATTTTTTCCTTCACACATCATATTACGGGGTATTGGGGGGGGGTTAAAGGTGCCGTTTCAAAGGCTCAGTCTCTTCAAGTTCCCATCAGCTCCTGCTTCTGTTTATGCTGGCATGCAATTAAGGCAAGTGATTCAAGCTGGGCTGGCGGTGAAGTCCGCCAGGCTGCTGCAGATCTGAGATACTGTACATAAACGGCCTTTAAAGCAGTGATTAGGAGAGCTGATGGTTTAACACAGACAGGATGTGTTGGTGTGGTTGAAACAAAGCCATTCATTTGCATGAGCAGTAAAATGGACTGAAATGGGTGCTAATAAAGTCGGGAACAATACTTTAAAAAATGTTTGTTTATAAGTAGATCATAGTTCATTCAAGACACTTTATACATGTTGTTTTTCTATGAAATTTAAATTCAAGTCACAAAATCCCATAAACATTAAAACACACTAAATGTTTCTGGGCTGTGTACTTGTCATAAGAATGAGAAACTCAGTGAGGCTTGTCAGAAGATGAACGTTGTGTGATTGTGTCTAATTAAGAGGAAATCTACAGCACAGTATATCTGTGAAGTACATCAAATGTTGTGCCCACACACACAAACATCTACAAAATGCATTAATTTGCATATCCAAGTGACTTTCCTGTTTTCAACAGCTTTTAATGGTTTTCAACAAACAATGTACTGAATTGTCGTGTTCAACCTGAGCACACATGTTCATGAATTATACCTTTTGCCTCTTTTCTCTGATTTTCTCCAGATGTGAAGGAGAGGACAATCAGAAGTTTTTCAGTCGGTGGAGTCTTCAACTTCACCTCTGTCCTTCTCAGTAAAGAAGACCGCATGCTGTACGTTGGTGCTCGGGAGATTCTCTTTGCTCTCAACCTGTCTGATATCAGCTCAGTCAAGCTGCAGAGAAATGTAAGACTCAAGCGTCTGTTATCCAAGTACCACATACAGTATTTAATTTCAAAATGAATGTACTTAAAATCAGATCTCGCATATATGGTTATAAATTTGATACAGTCCCCGAAGTCCAATGTGGATATAACACACTTCACTGTATTATACCGACAGTATGAGTCTGACAGTGTTTCTCATCTGCAGCTCACATGGAAAACTCCACAGAGGAAGAGAGATGAGTGCAGTTTCAAAGGCAAAGATCTGCGAGTGAGTGAACTGCTGCTGGAAATCTCAAGTAGCTGAATTCAGATGGCTCAAACAGTATTTACGTGACTGCAGGTTTTCCTTATTGGTGAAGTTAATCAGTGTTGCATGGCGCTTTGGAAACACGCCCAGGGCAGAACCTAGAAATTTCCTGTAACTTTTTGATCTACAGCTATGGATTTTCCCCTTTCTTTCAAACAAGCTTTTGTCTTTTGTCAGCTGTTACTCCACTACTGCTCTTACATGTAAACATCCAGACCTGCAACCTTGCTGATCGTTTATTATGTATTTGCTCAGAGTAAGCACGTTAGCAGGAGGAATCTGTGTTTGTTTCCAAAATGACCTCAATCACTGTATGGGAAAACCATGGCATAAAAATCTGGGAAGAAATTTTGATAGATTTTGAAAATACAATTTGCAGTGCAGGCACAGTGACATTTAGTTGTTTTTGGAAATAGTTTTAATGGACTGTGGTGAATTGTGTGTGGTGGTCAGTTGTATAAGATTCTCTAAACAATCTTTTAAAAAATTAAGCTTTTTTTTAAATCAGTGATTTGTTTAGTGAAACATGTTAAAATAAAAACACAAAATTATATCTTAAACACTGCCTAACCATCTACTGCATACCCCTTTTCTGTTAATAGCTGTAAAGAAAATGAAATTCCTTTTCAACCATTTTCATGAAATTCTGGTTTATGTTTCTAAATCAGACGGACTGCTTCAACTACATCAAGATTTTACTACGTATGAACAGCACTCATCTGTACGTGTGTGGAACATATGCCTTCAGCCCCATCTGTGCTTACATAGTAAGTTTTTATATGAAACAGTCCCATCTGCTGCAGTGACCAGCTGTGGGGAGCCCGATCAAACCTGTACATGTCTTTTTGTGTGTGTATCTAAAAAGCTGTGTCATTCATTGATGAAGAAAAGTCAATGGAAGACTTTATATACGTATATGATGTTCATTTATTAGATTGCAGAGAAAGAGCATGTAAAATCTGATGCCTACTGCTTCCTGCCTCTCAGCCCACTTACTGCAGTCTGGCTGAGGCCCTGCCCAGCTAGATATGCTATATGTGCATTATTTAATTATCTCCTGTGCTGAGGGGAAATGGATCAAAATATTTAATGTGTGTAATCAGGTTATATAAGAATCAATCTAGTTTTCAGTCATTTTCTCCAAGTCTTTTAAAGCCTTTTAAAATGATCCATAACAAACCTACAGGGATAAGACTGACTGACCTTTTCACTGGGGGACAGACAGACCGTGGTCACTGTCTGAGCAGGTTACAGCTTCCTAGCTAAGTAAACATGGCATGTGGTGTGTTTTCTCCAGAACACTGCAGATTTCTCCCTCGTCAAGAGTGATACTGGTGAGATTGTTACAGAGGATGGGCGAAGCCGCTGCCCATTCAACCCTGAATAAAAGTCCACTGCCATCATAGCTGGTAGGTCTCATACTGGCATGCAGCTGTCAGTGAACTTAAGCTTTGTTTAAATGTTTTGTTTCTAATTTATAGAAGCCGCTGTGGGAATCATTAAAATAAACAGAATGTTGATATGGAAACAAATCAGGGCACAACCTCTGGATTTCATTATTTTGTATGACGCAGACGCCCCCTCCCTTGTGGTAAACACTGATTACGCTGGTCTTCTTCTCTGTGTTGCAGATGGAGAGCTGTATACCGGCACAGTCAGTAATTTCCAAGGAAATGAGCCCATCATTTACAAAAGTCTAAGCCAAGGAACTGCTTTAAAAACAGAAAACTCGCTCAACTGGCTTCAGGGTACTGTCTTTTGGCTATTTAATATCAAATGTAGATGAAATGTACCTTTACCTGAAATGTATGAGCGTCTATGATGCAAGTGGGTTTTCCATTTAGTGCTGCTGAGAGTTTGAGGTTGATGGTTTTGTTTATGTTGTTTTTCCTTCAGACCCAGCGTTTGTTGGCTCTGCCTACATACAGGAGAGCCTGCCCAAAGGCAACCTGGTGGGTGATGATGATAAGATTTACTTCTTCTTTAGTGAAGTGGGAAAGGAATTTGATTTCTTTGACAACACCATCGTGTCACGGATTGCTCGCGTGTGTAAGGTGAGTGACGCTTGAAGGCAGATAGTTAATCTAAAGAGGCCTTTTTACCCTTGAGCTAACCCTGCCATCACTATAAGGATCTATCACACCTGGAGGGGGGTTTGTTTGTGTTCACTACATGCTCCTGTACAGCCACATATGTAGTCAAGTGACAGCTGCTTTCATTCTAAATACAACTATAGCTCACAGCCTTTCTGGGCAGTGATGCGGGATCACTTGTTACAAAAAAACAAACAAAAACAACTTCTCCTCTTGCATGTTTCCCTCTGACTCTGATGCTAAAGATCATCCGCTCCCTTAATTCTTATCATCTGTAACCAAATATTTGCGTCTCTTAGAATCACCATAGCACAAGATCTGTGCACAGGAATGGATTGTCACTTGATAAAATACTTCATGGGCCAGATGTATAAAACTCTTTGTTGACTGATGACTAAAACCCTGTGTACGCACTAAGACAGAAGTGAGCGTACACATTGCTTTCAACAGATTTAAAAACCCTAGTTCTGCTCAATTGTCAAGGAATTTGGCACTATAATCAGCAATTTGCATATAGAAATGGTCTCTGAACCGTAAGGTATTAGACATGGCAATAAAAAGAAGAAGAAGAAACCGTTTAAATGAGTGTGAAACTGAGACACTTGGAGAGGTGGAGAAAAGAAAGATGATTTGATGATTTGCGGTCTCAAGAAGAAAAGCTGCTGGAATATAACTGAGGCTATCAATACTGTCAGTTCAGAGCAGAGGCCCGTGGCTGAGGTAGAAAAGAAGCGGTCAGGTTGTAAGTGAGAGGCAGAAAAGTGCATACGTGCGCACAAAGAGAGCACGAGGGTCACACAGCTTTACAGAAGAAGATGAATCCTCCAGTGACGTCAGAGCAGCCGTCCTTATGTACGACCATGATGCACAGCTGCAGCTATTTATAGAGCATTTTAATTTAAGCACAGTGTAAGGGCTTTTATTGTTACTGTAGGCTAGTGACACCTCAATTTACAGAATAGTTTGTCTAAAATGAAAAACTGGGAAATTGAGGCAAAAGAAGTGCAAAGTTCATTAGGCCAACATAAATGCAATTTTTAAAAATAAACTATGAGCTGAAAAATATGTAAACAGCTAAAAATAATGCAAGCTGTTTAAAACAGCCTGTCTTGCCTTATTCAGTATAATTTCCAGTTCACCATATCACACCTACTCAAACCATGTGTATGCATGGTCTGAAGTACGTGTACCCACACAGTCTGTGTTTATACATGCCAGCTTATGTGTAGGAAAAGGCATACGCATGGTTTTGTGTGCACACATCGTTCATGCATCTGGCCCCAGGCCTCTTAAACTACAATGTGCATCTCACATTGTATTTGTTCATTTTTATGGTCTTCTCGGAGCTACCGTTATCATCACAAACAAGTTCTACAGATCAAACTGATGCTCATCTCTGTGCCCTGACAGTCATTCTGCACTTACATAAGTAAAGGCAAGACACCACCTACAGTACAGTATGTGCGTCAGATATAAACCCCAAAGCAGTACCATAGAACACCCAGCTGTGAATCACAGGCCTTTATCACAGACGAACACTGACCAGAGGGTTGTATTTTATTTATCTACCTGAAATTATTCACTTTGTTTTTTCCATCCTGTTAAAAAAAAAACAACTATTATATAAGTATGGACTCATGTAGGGTGTTACCCATAAGGAAATGAGTAATAACGTGTCGGTGTTTGGGAGTTGGCACTCCACACAAAAGTACAACAAAAATAATGACTGTGTGTAATGTAAAAGCTTTAAAATGAGGTAAATGCTCACAGATTGTGTTAGTTCCTTAAGTAATACTAAATAATAGTGATTTAGTGACTGTAATAGTGAAATAATAGTGTTCAGATACTGTAAATGATCAGTCCTTTCCCCATTGCTCTTCACCCCCTGTTTGACTTGTGCTGGCCGCAGTCCCTCTCTTTGTTTACTCAGGTGTTTACTACACAGGTTCCACCTGATCCAGGCTAACTATGGAATAATAAACAACAGGTTGCTTGAAAACAACAAAACAAAGCATGTTGTCATTTGCAGGCTTTTTTAGTTTCACAGAAAGAAGTCATTACTGCCTGCCATGTTCATGGAGCTTTTTACAAGGGGTGTTTTTACAATGGTTTAATGAAATGGATGCATTGGCTTCACTTATTCAGAAGTCAGTTTAAGCACAGAGTGGTATTAAATTATAAAACTAGTCTTAACCAGCAAGTGTACAGTATACTGATCATGATCTGCCTGAGTTACTACAATAAGTGACTGCTTCAAAAGCTCATTACTGGTCATGTTTCATTTCCCTTCCCATCCAGTGCTACCAGTCCCTCTGATTAATGTAATACTTTAGTTCCCGCATGTTTTATTTATGGTTGGTGTATAGGTAAAACATTTATTGTCACCTTCCTCAGGCCTATAACTTGCTGTGGAATATAATGTTTTATAGTCATACTTCAAAATAAATGTTAATTGGTTTCACACTGAGGTTTAAAGCTGCAGTTTCTCTATCATAACCCTGTGCAGCCAAATTAGTCTTCATGTCAAGGAGGTCTCTTGCCACTCGCATCACTTTGAAGGCTAGTGCCAGAGGCTCTGACTCACAGCGGTAGTGCCAATGAAGGATTGTATGGAGCAATATTTCTTTTTATTTAAAAGCATTTGCCCTTCTCAAAGCCCTGAGGTTTTTTTTTTTAATAAATCAATTGTGTGTGTATATATAAAATGGCCTAGAAGTCTGCTGCCTCAGGCTATATCTACATTTCAGGCCCAGTTGATTTTTGCTCATTATGGTTATACTTTAGGAGATTCATGTTTTTCAGTTATGTCAATTCAAAAACTTCACTCTTGGGCTCACCACATTTTTGTTTTTTACTCACGAAGAAGGTGAATAACATGACAGATGACAGATTTATGTTACAAATATAATATAACACACAATACGCGTTGTATATTATAGTATGTAAGGTTTGCTATGGCACATTATTATTTCATGCCTTTCCTAAGCCTGTCAGATCCCATTAAATCACAGTTGCTAGTGCAGAGGCACTGTCACCACGGCAGACAGGTGGCAAGCCTGTATTCTTGCGCCCTCTACTGGCTACACAATGAAAGACAAATCCTCCTTTATTTGTTTTGCAGGGTGACGTGGGAGGTGAGAGAGTTCTGCAGAAGAAATGGACGACCTTCCTGAAGGCTCAGCTCTTGTGCTCTCTGCCTGATGATGGTTTCCCCTTCAACATAATCCAAGACATGTTTGTGCTGACACCCCGCCCTGAGGACTGGAGGAGCACTGTGTTTTATGGAGTCTTCACATCTCAGTGGTGAGGGCCAGTGTCAGCTGGGAATGGCTCCAGGACTGGCTCAGGATAAGTTGTATAGATACGGACAGAGGGATTATCAGTGGTATTAAGATGCTTGTTTATGTCTTTTAAGGTACAAGGGTGCTTCAGGAAGCTCTGCAGTTTGTTCCTTCACTATGGACCAAGTGGAAAAAGCATTCAGTGGGCGATACCGAGAGGTCAACCGAGAGACCCAGCAGTGGTACACGTACAACCATCCAGTCCCAGAGCCTCGGCCTGGATTGGTGAGTAACCGCCTGCTGCCCTCTGCTGGAGAACATGTAGAGATATAAGCAGCATGTCATGTCTGGTGCGTGAGGCGTTTTGTACATTCTTGTCTACTCATCAGTCACATCCTCAGTTTTGACTGGTGATCAAGGCTTGAGCAATTATCTGTCAACCTGGTGTCGCTCCCCTCCTGTTATCACACTGCTGTCGCTTTCATTTCCTGACAGGCTTATCACAGTCAAATCACTGAAAAACATTTAAAAATAAGCAGAGAATCTGCGCAGCTGGTGTCATTATCCAGTGTGGCTGAATATATGTAAATGTGACTTATTATTTTGCCTCTACAGTGTATCACAAATGCTGCCAGAGAGCAGGGCATCTCCTCCTCGCTCCACATGCCTGACAGGGTGCTTAATTTTGTCAAAGACCACTTCCTGATGGACAACGTGATCCGCAGCCAGCCTCTGCTGCTGAAACGTAATGTTCGCTACACCCAGATTGCTGTCCATCGAGTTCAGGCAGCACACAAGGCCTATAATGTGCTCTTCATTGGCACAGGTAGCGGTCTCCACAGTCATATGCACAATCATATTAAAAGCACACTCATCAGCCCCTTTATATTTTTGTGTTATTCCCAACACTCGAGTTTCTGTCTTTTCTAGATGATGGAAGACTTCATAAAGCCATTAACATCAACAGCAAGATGCACATCATCGAGGAGCTGGTGCTTTTCCGGGATTCCCAGCCCGTGCAGCACATAGTGCTGGACACTGAAAAGGTATTGAAAAAAGAAGAAGCTTGTTCAACACAGCTTCCACGTGTCGTGAAATAATAGTGGACTCAGTAAATGCATTTATTGCTAGTTTAGAGATTCCATGAGCCAAAAAGAATCACAGCCTGAAGCAGACATCATGTTCAGTGAGCTAATTACATGCAATGTTCTCTCAGGGGATCTGCAAACATCTGGGGTTATAACAGCTAGAAGCGTGACACTTCCTGGGTCCTGGCGTGAAAAGCCACGTGTATTGTATTAGATCAGGGTCAGACAAGGAAGATTCTAGATGAAAATAGTAACCCAGTAACTGTATTTGGGGCACTTCTTCCCTGTCCCCCTGCTTTGTCATCTCTCTTGCGCAGGGTCAGCTTTATGTTTCCTCTTTCTCGGAATTGGTGGAGGTCCCAGTAGCGAACTGCTCTAATTATCAGAGCTGCGGGGAATGCATCCTCTCCAGGGATCCTTACTGTGCCTGGAATGGGAGGCAGTGTGTGGATGTCAGACAAGCTTCAGCAAGAAGGTATATATCCCTTTGCACTCTAACCTGCAAAGCAGCTAAAGCTTGTACAGAGACATTTCTATGATATGCAAATATATGATAACATGTCTGCATTTCTGATTAAATCTTTATGTTTCAGTGCTTGGCAACAGGATGTAGATGAAGCAGACACATCAGCTATTTGCAGCAAGACAGTGCCAAACCCACGGTTTGCTAAACCTCCACCTACACGTAAGTCAGCTCCTCTTCTTTAGGCTGTCATAGATTTAGAGTGCAGAATTCTGCCCTGGATTTTTCCATATTTATTTGAGTCTTCATTACAAATGTGTTATGAATTCTGCGCCAGATAAGGTGGTGCATCTTATGTTATGAGACATCTGTTTTGATCTATAGCTCTGCTTTCAACAGGAATGTCTTCATGCCAGGTGATCATTATCCCAGCCAACACGTTCAAAGTACTGCCTTGCAAATTGCGCTCTAATTTGGCTGAAAGGAAGTGGGAGTTCAGCAAGAGTGCGGGTCACTTCCATTACCCCAGCCCGGAAGGAGAGCTGGTCGTGGTAGCTCAGGCTGACAAGCAGGAAACCTATGAGTGCTGGTCAGTGGAGGAAGGATTCAAAGAGTTGCTGGCAAACTACTGTGTGAGGGGCGAGGCCAAGCAGGAGAGCACCACCCTGACAGGCCACTCGGCTACGCCACACATCTCCCAGGAGGAGTTCATCATCCTGCCAGGGGAAACCCGCTCACCACGGATCAACACTAAGACCTACTGGAACGAGCTGATCGTGGTGTGTGCCCTTCTGGCATTTTCCCTGGTGGTCTTCTCTTTATTTGTGATTTACAGGAACCGTGGCCACATGAAGTCCATGCTTAAGGAGGGAGAGTGCCCCAACATGCAGCAGAAGAAGCCCAGAATAGTAGGGAAGCCAGCTGAGAATTTGCCACTTAACGGCAACACGGTCACAGCATCTGTATCAGATCACAAGGGCTACCAGACCCTAAATGACAACTACATCTGCAGCACTCCACCACACGAGTGCTCATCGCCTGACAACAGCAAGAGCTTCTCGGAGTCAGACAACAGGCCTCTAAACTTTAAAGAGAGCCGTGTGGAGATTTCTCCCACATGCCCACGGCCACGAGTCAGACTGGGCTCTGAGATTAAGGATTCTATAGTGTGAGGCTGGCTTCATGTTACATGGAGCGACTCATCCATACTGAAAGGAAGGAGTGCACTTGTTTTAGAAAGACAAACTCATATAAGGAGAGAAAACTGAGGGACATCAGACTCTTCATGGAGAGACACGTCATCAAACAGATTTTGCACTTTGACTTTTTTTTGTTCTGTCCCTGTGGTCCATGTTCATTTAATTTTATTTTCCTCTCACTGCCCCTAATTCAAGTGCATTGAAAAGAACACTGAAGACTTTCCAGCTTGCCTTCAGACTTGTCTGTGAGCCGTGTTCACACGCGATTCACAGGAATATAACAAGCATAGAGGTGGCATCTCAACCGTAATCCAGTGATTGAATAGCACTGCCTCTCAGTCCGTCCATGTAATATAACAATGATGCTTTGGAAGGTTAGTGGGATATTCAAACATGGTCCCACTAACAGCTGACAGTGTTTGCTGTTTTATTTTAATTCTGTCACCCGGTAAGAGCCTACTCTCCACTGTGGCTATGCACTATGTACTGTACTGTAGCAAAGTAAGCACTCACGCCACAATATACCCAAAAAAGTCAGTGGCAGGCAAGACAGGAAAAAAGAGGTCCTGTCACACCATTCACACACATTGTTTAGGCTGAAATATAACAAAGAAACCCAGAAAGAACTCAGAGAAGAAGAGCTGAGCTGACAGGTTGAGAAGGTTGATTTATATTGCCAAGTGAAAGAAAACACAAACAACAGACCTCAGCACAAATGTTATAGAAACTCTCACCACCTCACTCACTACACACACACACACACATGCACAAAGGATTATATAAGGATAAATGAAGACTCAAATCTGCTTTTTTTAAATGTCGGTATTATTAGTGGATACAAATATTGTTCTGTGGGAGCCTGACTTTGAACAAATGTGATAAAGCTCATTCCAGGTATTATCATGCTGTTCTTCATGAGGCAGGCGGTCTATGCAAAGCAAATAATGTGAAGTGGGGGTAAACAGAGAAAACCTCACCTCAAGACTGAGTAAGCACAAAGGTGTTGGTGCCATTAATTAATCTTATGATCTGTGGCACTGCAAACACTCCCCCCCACCCCACACACACATGTTACACTAACTGTAAGTATGCAAGAGATTTTAGCCATTTTTGTGTATTTTAGGGAGACAGATCATGAAACTAACAGGTTGGCATCACAAAAATACATGAGACAAGGGTCCAGCATAGTCACATAAACCTGTGGCTGTTAATTTAGCAACACAATAAATGATTATAAATATATGATTATGTGGCCATTTTTTTTTTCTTTTCTTGTGACATTTAGTTAACATTGTCAGGCTTCATTCTTTAAAATATCTGGCACTGTTCTCAAAGGGAAACAACGATAAATATTTAAGTACTTCACATGTGATTTAATTAACACACACCTGTATAGCCTCAAAGTGATGGGTGTTCATGAATGAAAGAAAATTCTCTCCGCTTGCTTAAATGGTTTCAGAGGTAACCATAAAGGCAATAACTCATTTTCATCCAGTAATAAACATAAGAATTGTGCATTTACACTGATGACCCATATCCTTGTTCAGAAGATAACTGCAGTGTGACACAAAATTACAAATTTCACAAAAATGCAGGAAAGCATGTTGCCTGACTCAGAAAGCACAAGATTTGCACATGATGTTGAAAAGCCTTAGTACAATGCAGGTTATGGATCCGATAACAAATCTGCCGGGCGGGGGGGGGGGGAGGGCAGATAATCAAGAGATGTGCCTCCTGGGATAATGAGCTAACCCCATAGTAGTGCTGGAGTCAGACGCTACACTGCAGGCACAACAGGACTGGCCATGCTCAAAAACATAGAACACATGTAATATACTACTGTCTACATTGTACAGTATGTGCTCACGAGGTGTTTTCTTGTTTTATGTTTTGCTATAGTGGCTTCAACCTCAGTCAGGGACAACAAATTTTATTCTTAAATTGTAACATAAATAACCACTGGCTGATTTTTGAAATACTGAAATATAGATTAGTATTATGTTACCTTTCTTGTCAATGGCACTGCAGAAATGAATTTCAAATCTTTCACGCAGTATGGAAATAAATCCTGCTTAGACTGTTATTAAAATCATACACAAAAGGCAGCTTTTGGTAAAGTGGCTGTCATCAGAACAATATTACATTTGCTAAGTGCAGAACAAAAATAAAGTGGCAGTGATTTAGTTAAATATGTGCAGGTACTGAACATGCTTTTTAAAAAACAAAAACAAAAACAAAGTATTGTCATCTGCTCTCTCATAATAAACCACTATTTCAGACCTATTTCTGACAATTGCTCTGAATTTGTCAACATGTATTGTAAATTGTTTTTATGTAAAACCGTTTTGTAAATTCAGCTGCCAATGTAAAAATGTTGTGAACTGTATTTTTTGTATACTACTACTGTTTTTGTATTGTATATAAAAGCACTTTATTTTAATTTTTCAAATAAAGATTAAATGAATAATTTTTTTCATTTGAATGGCTTGTGATTGTATGAACCAAAACGTGTCCTCTCAGCTTACTGTTCTGCAGGTGAATGTTGCTGCTTGGCCACTTTGCCAGGACTATGAGGGGGGGGGTTAAGGGGGAGTCAGAAACGCACTATGCAAACAGAGGTGAGCAAAGAGGCGCGTCTGATAAAACTCACACAGCCAGCAGACGCACACCTGAAAGACAAACAGAGGTAAGTACTTGCGTCTTAGAGTTCCAGTGCATACATTGGCGACATGTACTAAGGATGAAGCCAAGTAATTACAAACTTCTGCTAAGACCTATTGATCCGCATCACGTCCGCCCGCCCTGGGATCTGGACCAATGGGCGGCTCTGTAGCACCTCTGACACCTTAATTGAGAGTTTAATAGAAGCTGTGAGGTTGGCTGGTGCGTAACGAGTCACTTCAGGAGCGGAGCTGTGTTACATTTTAACTTATTTCATATGTGTTGCGTGTTTTTATATCCTTAAGTATGGACCGACCCAGTCTTCGGAGACTGTTTTCCGCTTGTGATGTGAACAAATCCGGGAAGATTGAGTACGAGGACTTCGCCGTTGTTTGCCGGGAGCTCAACGTCCCCGAAACCGAGATGAAATCCCTGTTTGGCAAGTTCGACGCGGACGGAGAGGGATACATCGACTACAGCAAGTTTTCCTCCAGGTTTCAGGAGGTTTCAGAGACTCTGAACCTGGCGGCCTTTGGCGCTGGGCCATCCCAGAACCAATATTACCCGTGGGAAGAGTTTGTGGTGAGAGTGGACGCGGAGTTCCTCCTGTCTGAAAGGTAAAATCACATCCGGCTGTGCGCTCCGCGTTAACCAGGATTTAGCTCACCAGCGGCTACTGCTGCTGCTGGTGCTGGAAGGTTATTTAAACGTCAGCAAAGGGGCTGACAGCCTGGTTGTTTGTTTTCTTTCATTTAATAGCTGAAACTCGGATTTGTTACTTTTATTTTCAAGTGTTTAGTATAGTCCTGGTGAAACAAGGCTGAGGTACAAGCAGGCCTACACAACAAGGCTAGTAATAATATAGTTTCCACAATAAGTCATCATAAGAGACATTTTAAAATGAATAAACTCAAATAATGGCACCTGAAGGTCCCAGTACAAGCCTTTTTTTGAGAGTTTTTAGTCAAACCCCATGGTCTTCCTCAGTGGATGGGATCATATGTGCAAACTCATTGCTTGATGAAGATCTTGAGATGTAAACCAAAGACCCAGAAGGCTCTAAGTGGACATTAGGTTTTTCTGTCAGACTACAGTTTTAGAGGTGTGTTGATTTAACTACCTTTATTTGTATAAATGAGGTGGACTAAATAATAGAAACGCCTCAGAAGTATTATATAGCCTATATTAAAGGTCACATGTTTGGACACGTTTTCCCATTAAGCTCAACAGGAAAGTGTGTCCAAAGCTTTGACTGGTGCAACAGTAACACTCAAAATGATTACACAGTTGAACATCTCCTTATAAGCTTCATGAAGGTAGGATTTATTGGTTACCAACCGGTTAGATGGTCATGTTGGAGGTAATAAAACTAAAGGGGGAAATGGAAGCTAAGATATAAAAAATTATAGCTTACTATCATTGCCCAGACTTGAGATTGACAATCAGTTATTTAAGGTGATCACAAAATAAACGTATAGATTTTAACATCTGAGAGTGACATGAACTCCTGTAGAAGTTTTTGTTCTTTTAAATCATGACTTTCCTATGTTTCTTTAGTTGTTGTAACAGGTCTTGGAGCTGCAGAGTGTGCACGGCCTCTTGTTAATAATTTTTGCTCTCTGGCTATTCAGGTCCTGTACTTCCGTTACATCTGTAAAATGATTATTGAGACAGTGATGCCAATGGTTTTTTTGTCATATTTAATCCTTGTCATATTTGCTGTTCCTGTCCAAGTGTCTACCAAGTTTGGCAACATTTTTACGTTAGAGCTTACCACATCTGTTTGCTTCATCTAAATGAACCTTTTATATACTGGGGTTACTTTTTACAACTTGTGTTAATTAGATGTTATGGTGGAAGCATGATTATGTAACATGAAGTATGACTTCAAGAAACCAGGCAGTGAGTATCTGTTCTCGTCCCACAGTCTCAGGGAGCAGCTAGCTGATCTTTACCACGGCATTCACTCGTCTGCTAACATGACTCTGCTGCAGCAGTATGAGGAAATCATCCACTCTCTGATCAGTCAAAGCCGGGACAACAGACTGGAGTGTGAGCAGCTGGAGACAAGTTTGAAGCGGTAAGAACACATGTAAGGGTCGGTGGGGACAAAAGAGCATTATATTTACACACAAAGTCAAATCGCCTTGGTGTTAATGATGATTTACACTTGGCCTGTGTCACTATATTGTCTATATGACTAGTGACATTAAGTAATGGCATTTAAAGGTGAATTAATATGAATAAACATCAGATGTTTTGAGTCTGCTGTATCTCCCCTGCACCAGCTGAGATAAATGGCTTGACCTATCAGTTTTTGGCCACTAGGGGGGGAGCAAAACCTCAAACAAGCTGACTGCCTCTAGTGAGTGAAATCCAATTTGAGCTCTTCAGTCTTTCTGTGCTCACCAGCTCCTGAGGCTGTTGGATGTCAGCTTTGTCTGCCATTTGGTGCTGGGCATGTAGCATCCAGTGGGTTTATCGTAGCTGTTTATCGGGGTTGATGAGCACTGCAGACCTGAAACGTGGTAAATAGTTTCCTAGCATAGTGAGTTGGCCTAATTCTGTAAATTTGGCAGTCTTGCAGTGATTTAATGTTAATATCAAAAATTACAGCTGTATTTGACCTTATATGAGCTCAGAGAAAGTGGCAGTGTGCTTGGAATTTTTTTTAAATTTTTTTTTATTTTTTTGCACGGTAGAGTTGTAACTTGTTTTTGGATGAATGATGACCGTGTCCATTGACAGTGGATTACAGAGGTGTTCCTGAGCCCATTCAATGATATCCACTATGGAATCATCTGTTTTTAGAGCACTGCTACCTGAGTAGTTGTGGGCTGTTCCACCAGGTGTTTGTCTTTTATTTATTTATTTATTTATTTTGCAGATAAAAACAAACCATTAATGCAGGCCAGACACAGTGTTCTGTTGGCCTCAAATTCAGAAACAAGCTTATCTAAACCAACATACATTTATTTGAACATTCGATAAATTTGTACTGAGGGGTACAAATGAATGAGGTAGATTTGTAGTTTTCAAAGCATTTCATTCAATTTATATTTACAATTTACACATCATCCCAACTCATTTGGAATTGGGGTTGTAAAATAAACTGTGTGTATATAAAAAAAAAAAAAAAAAACTTGTGAAATTTCTCAGTAAGATTTCGAGGTTTAGTGCACATGTATAATCAGTTTCTCCAAAGCGCTCCCTCCCTCATCTGTGGTTGGTTCATGTGCTGTTTGACGAGAGCAGAGTAGTCGGTACATCTGACCTGAAGTCAAATCGGTCTGGTAGAATTTAAATATGGACAGTAGGTGAATGGATTTTATTTTTAAAGCTCCTGCTGTATTCATTTCCTGGACTTCTGGAGAATTGCTTTATTTCAGCAGCTGCCCACACACCCCTGAATGTTCTTTTCTGTATAAACAGAGTTGAGGAGGTGAACAACAGTCACCTGGCAGAACTGGAGGATGATATACAGCAACAACTTGTCAGAACTGAGGAGAGGGTGAGAGACGAGGTGAGTGGGATACCTGCAGGACTTGTAGTGGCCTAATGCTCACGTGATTCATTATTTTTAAATATTCCAATAAAAATGTATCATACCTAATAAATTGGCTGTTAGACATAACCGCACTTAAGCAATAAGCGGTGCACAAAGAAGGGACTAAAAACATTTTATTCTATAATAAAGTTAACATTTCTGCATTGGTTCTTGAGTGCTACCTGCATATTTGTGGTGCAGCACACAGCAGCAGATTGTATGTTCCCTCACAAAGAGCCTCTGTAAAGCCAGATGAAAGCCCCTGTTCAAGACCTGAGCTGGCCTGCCCTTCTAACTACTTCGGTGTCATGTTTTGTAGGAGCGTAAGAAAATGGAGGGAATGATGGCTAGCATGCAAAGGAAGCATGAGATTGAGATTGCAGACCTGCATGCGACTGTGGACAGATTGTTAAAGGTAGGTGTTTCCACACAACGTACACTTGGCTTGTTCTTCTGAGGTCAAAGGAGTGCATAAGGACAGCTTAAAGTTTTCTTACAATATGAAAAAGAGAGGAGAAAACCCACAAGCTCCAGTATGTACAGCTGTCTTTATTTCTGGGGAAACCCCTGCTGTGCCAGACAGAGGCATCTGATTCGAGTATGACCGATGACCCCACAACCCCAACACCACTTTTTTTTTTAGGGTGAACTGCAACCTTTACCACAAGCTCCAGTATGTACAGCTGTCTTTATTTCTGGGGAAACCCCTGCTGTGCCAGACAGAGGCATCTGATTCGAGTATGACCGATGACCCCACCACCCCACCACCACTTTTTTTTTTAGGGTGACCTGTCACCTTTAAACCTGTTAGATCTGCTAAGACTTAACATCCTGCTTCCACATACAGTATATCTACAATCTGTCAAGATCCAGCTCAGAAAGAAGACTGTTTACTCATGGTAATCAAATGTCTCCAGTGATGAGATTCCGCCTCTCCAATCACACTGGATGTTACCAATTGTGATTACTGACAAGCTGAAAATGAACAAACTGTATGGTTAGCCATACAGTGAGAATAATGTAGTGGCTATTTGCATGCTGGAAAAAGTATGAAAAAGGAACATGTGGAAACTAAGATAAAGGATGTCAATACAGAGAGAATAAGAAACTTGCTTCATATGCATTTGGGGGACTGGTGTATGCATTCTACTGTAGGATGTTAATGATTGTAGGCTGCCAGACAGTTGCATTAGCTTTATAATGCAGCCTACATTCTGTACAGTAGCCTGGTGGTCAGATCATGAATGGGTAGCTCCAGTGTAGCTACAGGTGCTAATAACACCCCAGGGAACAGAGTATGAACAAGGCCTTAAAGTGGATTCAGTCAGAAGTTGGCACCTTATTCATCTAAATGAGGAACAGGTTAAGACTTGGCTGCTTCCAGTAAGGAATTTACCTCACCTTGATAATTCAAAAATAGCATGCAGTCACCACGTTAGACTGAAGCTTTCTACTTAAAGATTGAGGAGGTTGTGGCATAGCAACAGATCACCTCCATGTACCTGCAGTAGCTAAGTCGCCGCCTACACTGGCGCTAACCTACACCAAGATCTAACCTTGCAATTGAGCTACAGCATTTATGTAGGCAGCAGGTCGAGACCACAGTTGTGATTGGTCATCTTGGACAGCTTGTGTTTTCCAAACAGATTTCCAATGGAGACAGGTGACAGCTGGAGATAGTGAAGGCTAATGTAAAGCAGCTTCAAGAGGCTCAGTAGTCTCCTATTACTGAAATGAAGCAGACAGTCCCATTGTCTCTCTACATTAGAATAAATAAAACAACAAAATGCAATAACTTTGGGGTATGTAATTGGAGCACTGATAATGCAAGACACGATCTATTCGTATTGTGTTTCAGTGGCGTTAAACAGGTGAAACCTAATGCTGCCAGTTATCTGCACCTGCAGCTCGTGCACCGTACACCACAACACGCAAAAACAGTTCCACCTTGGGGATTTTTCCACAACAGAAATATTTAATAACGCCAGCTGTTGTAGAACTTGGCTAATACAAATGACCCATTTTCTGAAATGTCTACCAGTAGCAAGTATACTGGAGTTACTGTCACACTTTGTAAATTTAAAGTGTCAAATATAAGGCCTCACACATACTGTACAATTGGCATTAGAGCTAGACTGATTAGTCAGCTGATCAACTATATAGTTGGCCAGTATTAGCTGGAAAGTTACAAGAGATTGCAATACAGTTTGCCACTAGATGGAACTGTGGGTCTGGAAATTCTGGTCCAGCACTGCTGTCCATGTGGCTGCAGTACTGCTCCTTTCTTTCATGTTTTATTAAAGCACATTGTCTTAACATTTAAAACTGTTGGAGGAAAATACTTGTGTAAATGTCCATTCTCTAGAGCCGAGAGGACTCTGAATTCAACCATTCAAATAAGGAGGTGGACAGACTGAACAGACAAATCGGCGATCTCTCACACGTAAGTCATATGGAAGGGTTTATTTTAGTTAAAAGTAATTACATGTGTGTTGTAAAGGATTGTCATACAGTGAATCGCCTCACAGGAAAATGAACACCTGCGGGCCTCCCTGCTGCAAGCCCAGACAAACATCGCTGTCCTGCACTCAGAGCTGGACAAGCTGAAGAACATGTATGCAGATCAGAAAGCTCAACATGAAAGGTGAGGTGCTGTCTGAACGCCAAGCTCGGCTCATGCCTGATGGGCACGGCAAGTGATCCAGCATCCATATGTTATGTGTGTCTTTCTTTTTACAGAGAGACAGATGATTTGAAGAGGATGGTTATGGAATACCAGTCGTATGCGAATCAGATTCAGGTCCTCCAGTAAGTTTGTCTTTGAGTTAATAAAGCTGTGTAGTGTGGATGGGGTTTTTTTCTTTTTAACACAAAATAGAAAAAGAAGGAAAATATATTAAGTTAGTAGTATAAACTGTTTCAGCAGAAATTATAGTTGAAATTGGATTTAATACTTAAAAATAGCCTCGTACTATATCTCAGGAATACTATGTAGTACATGCTAAATAGGGGGTTAATTAGCCAATATGTTGGGAATTGCCCTATTTTTGTGTATTGCTGTTTTAATGCTTTGTTGCCTTTTATGTAACTTTTTTATTTTAAGACTAAGTGTTCTTTCTGGCCTTTTCACTTCTTACCTGACTCCAAAGGAGAGCTGCACAAGAATCCCTATATGCCTAAACTGTCTGTTTATGCATAAATGGCAAATAAAATTCTTGACTTGACTTGTTTATACAGTTTATTTTTTCTAAAGTATGAACCAGCTCTTGAACTTATTACCAGAATACCAGGGTTAAGTGTATTCAGTAACACTGATGGATATTTATGTACATAGAGTAATGAGCTAACTTTGTTTTTGAGTACTCTTGTAAATTTAATAACCCTACATTGCCCTGTTAAAAAAAGCTATCCTGATGCATACAATTTGCTAACAACTTATTTCTACACAATTGCTGTATGACAGTTAATTTTCAGTATGTATCATACATGCATCTGACCCTGTTTTGCATTTCCTCAAACATCATTAGAGAAATGAATAAAAAGCTGTATGACAGTAATGACGGGCTGCGCTCTGCATTGGCCAGTGAGGTGGTTGCAGCTAAAAGGAGGGTAAGTCCTTTGCTTGCTGATGACTTGCTTCTTGATACCTACTGCTTGTACTATAGATGCTGACAGTACATTGTCTTCACTAGTTGACAATTCACCGACATTCCCACTTTGCTCAGCAGCTGCCTCCCCAAAATGAAATCCCAGCCCGAAGGATGAAACCCCTCCGACAGAGCACATTAAACCACAGCAGGTATTAACACTGAAGTTTGTTTGTTTGTTTGTTTTTTTTTTTTAATTGGGTTTTTTTTTTTTTTTTTTGTATGCACCTTGAACTCTGTAGATTAAATTGTCACAGCTGCTAAAGTGTGTGTGTGTGTGTGCGCTTTGGTGTAGCATGGATCAGGATCCCAACAAAACTTACACTCGTGTGGCTAACTGGGCTGATATGTACCTGGACAGCGGAGTGTCTCTGGCGATGGACACAGCTGAGAATTCAGGCAGTGATTATGACAGTGATGATAGCCGAAGCTCAGTGGAAACGGTGCACCACAGTTACTCCTATGCACCGTCTGATGTGGAGGTCAGTACACACACAATGTCACCATGTTGCTGAGCTCTCAGGGCCGTGAGCAAATATTTTCTTTGTCTGCTACAGATATCCGAAGTAAAATCGGAAGCTGCAGTGTCAGGGACTCCTAGCAGGGCAAGCTCCATTACATCATCTATAAGACGACGTTTGTCTGCCTTCTCCACAAAGGTAAAATGGTTCAACCTTTTAATGCATAGTACCTCCCCATAAATGTTAATTTAATGATTTGTAGGTCATTTTAGACAGCTGGTTTAAAACAACGTGGGAATGACTCGGAATAACAGTGTGAGTAGGGCCACCTCCTTGATCCATCCTTAAATATCTCACCTGACACTGATTCCCATGGATCACTACTAATGTACATGGAATATAGAGCCTATGGTTTTCAGTGGCATTGCAGCAACACAGTGTCAGAGGTTTGCAATATGCAAACGTTTTCTAACTTGATTTCTCCAAATTTATGCTAAATCATAGTTGATGCAGCTTTAAACTCTAGTTCGGTTATGAGTAAAATGTCTCAATCACTGGCTGGATTGCCATGGAATTTGGTTCAGATGTTCATGTTCCCAACAAGAGTCATTGTAATAACTTTGAACCCTGACTTTTCTTGTAGTTTTATCATTAAACGTAGGGTTAATGGCCAAATACCTGCAAAACCGATGAGTTATCAGCTGTACTATTTAAAATGCTTCAATTTGACCAGAAGAATACTAACTCAGTCGGCTTAGTAGCTTGTTTGGGAGCTTTCAACTGCATCTCATTGTCTGCATCAAGAGATGCTCACTTGTCATGTGACCTAAATATGGAACTTTGTAGGTGGTTATGCAGGTGTACTGAATACCTGGGGATGTGTTAAAAGCTAGTTTAGTGGACCTGCAGTTTTTTTCTTTAACTGTTATATCAATGCAAACTTTTATTTGCCGCTTTCTTAGTAATGAATACAGGTAGGTTTTTTTTTATGCATAAAACTGGGTAAGCTTGTTATCTTTTGTTTGATTTACACAGCCATTAGAAGCAGACATAGAAGAAACTGAGGAACAAACACCAATGTACCGTCTGGTTTTAGCTGGAGATGCAGGCGCTGGAAAGTCCAGCTTCATGCTGAATTGACTCTCAATGAGTTCAAAGGAGACATTCAGACAACACTGGGTGGGTTCCAGGACAAAAACATCACATTTAATAAAATACTGATGCATTCTTGAGTTCACACTTTTACATCTGGTTTTTGCTTCACAGGAGTTGATTTCCAAATAAAGAGGATGTTGGTGGATGGAGAGAAGACAAGTCTGCAGATATGGGACACAGCTGGGCAGGAGAGGTAATGCCAGAGGAGTAGCAACAGGAAACGCACAGTATTATCAATGCACTGTCAACATGGTCCCTTTTTTTTTTTTTTTTTTTTTAGTAAATTTCCATAAGTTAAAAACTTGTATTTCTTCTTACTTTAGGTTCCGTAGTATTGCCAGGTCCTATTTCCGCAAAGCTCACGGGGTCCTTCTGCTTTACGATGTTTCTTCAGAAAGCAGCTTTCTCAATGTCAGAGCATGGGTGGATCAGATTCAGGTAACTGGAAATACTGACTGAATGAATACCCTGCCAAAAGCACAAATCTAGTGTTTTACCATGTAGTTTGTTTTTATGCAGGATTCAACAGATGAGAAAATCCCCATGTGTGTTATTGGAAACAAGGTGGACCTGCGTGAGGAGCTTGCAGAAGGAAGCTGTGTGAGCAGTTTGCACGGAGAGAAGTTGGCCAAGGTGTGTAACATTTCATTCCACCTGACTGAGAAATGTTTACAGATGCCTGGTCTCCCAGATGTCAAAATAAACTGACTGCACTCAGGTATGTCGATGCTTTGCTTGCAGGCATACGGTGCCTTGTTCTGCGAAACGAGTGCCAAAGAGGGAACCAACGTTGTCGAAGCCGTGCTTCATCTAGCAAGGTAGGAGGCCAGAGTGTTTGGATTTAAATTGTTTTTCTTTCACAGACCATGAGAACACTCAGCTTTTTCCACCCTCTTTCACAGAGAAGTAAAGAACAATGGCAGACAGAGGTGGCAGTCGCGTTCTCAGGTCAGACTGAATCAAACCAACCCAAAGAAGACTCTTAACAGCTGCTGTGGACTGTAGCTCAGTAGATATGAGGGGAACAAGGACACAGTGATTTTTAATTTGTGATGAAAGTCTTTCTTATGTTTTTAACCCTTGAAATATTCAAAGGATAACTCTTTCTTTATATTAGTAGTATTTTCAGCAATCCCCAGACGGAGCCTAAAACCAACAATGAATTGCATCTACTCATTGTTAATGTCTCAGCCCTGGTTTAGCCAATTCATCTGTGACATAGACCTCCGTTGTTTTTGTTAAAAATGTTGCCCCAAAGGCTCTTTTTGTTTTTAAAAAACACCACTACACAGGGTGACACGTTTCCCCATTACAAAACAGACCTGCATATTTGTTAAAAATGTTGCCCCAAAGGCTCCTAACTACCATAACTTTAACAGGAACAGCATCTGCACAAGATCTCCTGATATTCTTTAACAAATATGTGGGTCTTGGTTTTAAAATATGTAATTAAGTGCAGCGGTGTGTTTGCCTGATCTTTTAACTGGTTTTGAACGATGGAGGTCTATGGCACAGAGGAATAAACTAATCCAGGATTGTCATTGTTGGTTTTAGTTTTGTATATGGGGCGTGTTAAATGCTGTTCATACAGAGGATGACCAGCCTTATATAAATTTTCATAAACGTTATTCTCTGATCAAAATGAAGATTTCTACTGCTGGAAAATTGCACATATACAAATGCACATAACATAATCAAGCTTTTATATATATATTTTTTTTATGATATTTTTATTAAATATAAGCAACACTGATGCCTCATTTCTGATTAAACTTAGATCATATCAATTAGCAAGTCTTTTTAAATTGTACTTTTTTCCTCTAAGACCACACTTCTAGGACAGAGGAAAAGAACTGTAGGTTTTCTGAAACATTTAAGCAACATTACATTGCAGTTTTAACACCTGGACTCACTGAAGGACTTAAGAATTTCAGACTTGTTTTTAAGTGTTATTTATTTACTAAAATTACTTTTTGTAGTTTGGTTTCATTCTGTATAAAAGGTCCAAATACATTTTTTTTTTTTAAACTTGTCTAGAACATTTTCCAGGATTCATTTTTTAAATGTAAAATATGTAATCCCTTCTCAAAATAAAAGCAACATAACTGGAAAGATGACTTTTGTCTTTTTGATGAGCAGAAATCTGATGCTGTACTACCATGCTTATTTTCAACCACATGAAACTTGCGCATAGATAGATAGATGGATAGTTCAGGCTCTGGTGGTAGTGCATACCTTGTATCACTGTGGACTTGACTAAAGAGAACCGGAGTCTGGACTCTGCTCCTTCAGATGATGAGGATTTCAGTTTCTTGCAATCAGAATCACTGATGCTACAAAACTACACAAAGCCACTGCCAGAGCACCAAGTATAAACTTCCAAGAAATCCCCTGAAACAACACAGATGCATTAAAAAAAATCCATTCTGTTATCAAAGCATTACTGATACTTGTTTTGGCTTACAAACTGTTTCTTCATAGGAAAAGGTCCGATATTGTCTTCAAGCATCTCTGCAGGTTTTGCTTTCCATCCCTGGGTATATTTGCCTCCTGGCTGCCTTTTGACAAGTTTAGATAACTCGACATGGATTGCCTAAAGAAAAAAGATGATTATATTAAAAAGAAGAAAAAAAAAACTCTGTAGATCTCAGGTTGGAAAAGGGACATGAAGCATTTTCCTGTAAAGAAGGTGAAGTTGCAGTTTTGCAATTGTCCAACAGGGGGAAAGCAGTGGGCTGATACACAAAGTACTACTGCCTAAATGACTACTGACAAATGTTTAAGCCTAATTTTAAAATCTCTACTTTGCTTTTAAATGGCACATTCCAGATGTCCATGAAAAGCACTATCATATTTTGTACAGGTTGTCAATGGATTCATTATTGGAGGAAATTGCATTAAAAGTATAAAGTAAATTGAGGCTTGTTGCAGTTTATGCCTCATCTTTTTTTTTTTTATGCTTTTCTACAGACTGCAGTACAGTAACCTTCTCACAGAGCAGCACTGAGCCAAGGCTGTAATTACCAATGCAGCAGCTACTGTATTTTCTTTTTTGTCTAGACAAGACCAGACATTCTTGTGACAGTGGCAGTGTGCCCTATAGGTCAGGTCGTTGTAGACTGCTGGTGGAAACACTTCTCGCAATTTCTAATACAAGTCTGGGTCAAGCTGGTGAACTAAAATAATGACCATAAACTGAGATTGTTATTCATTTATGTTCTTACACAGTGTGGAGTATATACTGAAGCTGCAAAGGGTGATTCAAGTCTCCTTTACCTTAATGTTACTACTTTTAGTAAACAGAGCTTCAGAGTTGCATAATTTAGCTCATGCATGTGTTATTTTTACCAGGTTTGCCACAGAACTCTGAGCAGTGTGGTCACATCTGCTGACTGACAGACGTGCAGTTCGACAAATCCTCTGTGGAGGATTTGGAAGATTAGACAAACCACACAAACAGGACAGAACAGGCTCGTTTCTCTTTTCTTTAGGCGAACGTGTGAACAGCTTGGTCTTTAAACGCTCTAAACTTTCATATTGAACGTAAAGGGGATTTTTGTAATGTGGAGGTAGTGCACACATTTTCCCAACGTTTTCTGGTAATGGAAAAGTTACAGTACAAACAAGCAGTCGTAAAATACAGTAAAAGTGTGGATGAAGGTAAAAGAAACTAAATATAAACTTCATGAGTGCGTAATTCATTTCATCCTTGATTGTCCTTTGTATCATGACAAATGTTTAGAAAACTCTAAATTCGGATTCAGGGGATCCAATTGAATTTTGTTTTTCAACAATACATATTCTGAATGTATTTTATGGATTATAGACTATTTACTCATGAACAATCAGATTTACAGTGTGTTGGCTGACAAACAATACATAAATTAGAATTGGCAATATGTTTGTTTATACTTTTATCTGCGCTGGCAGTGTGACTTTACAGGTGGCTCTAGACTAAAATATCACATTAACTAGTACATGGATTGAAATTTGGTCCAGCCCCGACTACCTCAGGATCAGCTGCAATAACTTCAATGATCTGGGGACATCTTATCTGGTGCCATCATCAGACCACATTTTACATTTGTCGTCTACTTAATTTCATCCATCTATCATCTATACTTCTTATCCTAATGAGGGTCGCGGGGCTGCTGGAGCCAATCCCAGCTGACATTGAGCGAGAGGTGGGGTACATCCTGGACAGCTCACCAGTCTGTCACGGCTGACGCATAGAGACAGACAACTATACTGTCCACTAAATTTTATGACTGAAATATCAGCAGAACGAATGGCATTCCCATCAGATTCAGCTGAACACTGTTTAGTGCTAAATAGAAAATGTTAGCATGCTAACATAAGATAACTTCACATATTAGCATGTCTATTTTTTTT